TGGTGCTGTGGCTCAAGTGGTAGAGCGCTAGCCTTGAGCTGAAGAGCTGAGGGACAGCGCCCAGGCCCAGAGTTCAGGCCTCACGACTGGACCCCTCCCCCCCCAAAAAAGAGTTCTGCTTATAAAGTAAAATAGTTACTGGAAGCCCAAACTAAGTTATGAGTGAAGGAAGAACGATATTTTAGGAATAAATTTGGTGTAGTGAAGTGTCCCCAGTGGGACTTCATTCTGGCAATGTCCCAGGCTGGCAGCCACTCCCCAGCAGTGGAGCGCTGACGCACGATGTGACCTGGGAGTCTGCGGACAAACAGACTAGCTCAGTCGACTAGTGGAGGAAGAACAGGCAGTGGAAAGAAGTGGGTGGATCCTAACCAGCGTGTGTGTGTGTGTGTGTGTGCGCGCGCGCGCGCACGGGCATGCGTATGCACGCGCGCCAGTACTGAGGCTTGAACTCAATGTTTGGGTGCCATCCCCTTAGCTGTTCAGCTCAAGGCTGGTGCTCTACCACTTGAGTCACACCTCCAAATTCCAGCTTTTTGGTGGTTAATGGACTTTCCTGCCCGGGCTAGCTTTGAACCACAATCCTCAGATCTCAGCCTCCTGAGTAGCTAGAATTATAGGTGCAAGCCACTGTGAGGTGTTTTACTTCTGGGGTGTTTTGTTCTTCAGTAAGTCGGTTGGGTTGAGGTTTCTTTCGCGTGCAGCTGCAGGCGTTGACAGTCCTGAAGTGAGCAGGAAGCCTTCATTGCCAGAGGGACCAGATGCACATGTGGCTCCGACTCCTGGAGGGGGACGGCAGAGCCTTGATCACGGCTCCACTGCGTCTGTGCATCCATCCTGCTGGTGGGCAGCGCGCGGGCAGCAGGCAGCGGGCAGCACACCCGGCTGCCAGCTGTGACCACACAGCCCTGCCCGCCAGCCCGAGGCATCTCAAAGCAGCCAGGTGTGGGCTGGGACTGTGGTCAACTCCCACCTGTCCTTCCTGGCCACTTCCTGCCAAGCCAGGGCACCCTGTCCTGGGAGGAGATGAGCTTGGGACTGTGTGTGCTGGGTCTGCGGGTGCAGCAGGGGCGACGGGAAGGGGGCATGGATCACTCCCTGTCTGAAGCTCCACCGCATGGACAGAGCAGGGCGGTCCCATCCTCACCGCGTAACCTGTCCACAAGCTACCGTCCTCCATCCTGACCAGCTGCCATCAACCTTCCCCAGAGAAGCCACATCAAGTGGACTGTATCTTTGTGTGTGTGTGTGTGTGTCTGTGTGTGCACGCGCGCGCACTAGTCCTGGAGCTTGAACTCTGGGCCTGGGCACTGTCCCTCGGCTCTTTAGCTCACGGCAAGCGCTCTACCACTTGAGCCACAGCGCCACTTACAGTTTTCTGGTGATTTATTGGAGATGAGTCTCATGGACTTTCCTGCCCAGGCTGGTTTTGAACTGTGATGCTCAGATCTCAGCTTCCTGAGTAGCTAGGATTACAGGCGTGAGCCATCAGAACCAGGCTCTTGATGTTTATCTTATACACATGCGCGCACACACACACACACACACACACATACACACACACATTTTCACACGCAGTTTTAGCTCAGGATAGAGGCAGGGGATACAGTAAGGACAGACGTGCTTTAGGGGGACACACCTCTGACAGCCCTGGGTGGTGTAGTCCAGTGGGAAGAGTTTGGCTTCAGTGGCTAGAAGGCCCTGGGCCTCTGACACACCTGTTTGGTTGTGTCACGTGACTTGGCTTCGTTTCTATGAGCCTTCAGGGTTCTCTCCTGTAGAATGGGGATGAGCCGCAGGGAGGAAATGGGTCCCTTGAATTTCCCAGCCTCCATCTCCAGCAGGAAGTGGAGGTCGAATGACTTATTCTGGCCAATGGTTAATTGAGGCCTGCATCACGCCTGGTGGAGCTGGTGATGCGTCTAGAATCTTACTTAGGGACCAGAGACCTGCTTCCAGGTGGCCTGGCTATAAAAAGAGGAGGGGCTGGGGGGAGGGGAGGGGGGAAGCGATTCCTTCTGCGCCCAATCACACCTTCCACAGGTGGTAAATAAATCCTTATGATGCCAAGCCACTGTCTACTTTTCTTTTGGGGGGGGCTGGGGGTGGTTATATAGTTCAAAGTTTTTTTGTTTGGAAGTTGCATCCCTACCGCCCCTCCCCCCACGCCCTTCCCCTGCCCCTCCCCCCACCATCCCCTCTGGGCCAGAAGCAGCTGAGCTGGGAGGCGGCTGTGGGCAGCACAGCCTGTGACCATTAGGGCTCTCTGTCTCGGTGGGGTGGGGCGGGTCACGTGGCCAGGTGGAGGGGTTTATCCCCACACCCTTGGGGGCCCCCTGAACTCCGCCACCCTCACCCAGGCATGGCGGCTGCAGCCCTGGCGGCCACTGCCCTGCTCCTTGCGGGAGCCCTGCTGCCGTCCGCGGGGAAGAACGCCCAGCGAAGACTGGTGAGCCGCGGGGCCTGGCCCGCTCCCGCAGCCCGGCCGCTCCCGCAGCCTGGCCACCCCTGTGAGGACTCAGAAACCCGGGCCCAGCCGGGATCTCAGCTCAGACACACTTCAAAGCCCCTTTCGGCCCATCCTGGGGGACCTGGACCCCAGTCAGCACCCCTTCCCCCCAGCCCTGTCCCCCCCCCACCCCCAGCCCAGATCTTCCCAGCTGTGGTGACTTTGGGTCTCTGCCTCTTTCTTTCCCTTTTTCTTTCCTTTTTTTTTGGTCGGTCGTGGGGCCTGAACTCTGGGCCTGGGTGCTGTCCCTCAGCTCTTCAGCTCAAGGCTGGCGCTCTACCACTTGAGCCACAGTTGAGCCGCTTCCAGTTTTCTGGTGGTTTATTGGAGATAAGAGTCTCACAGACTTTCCTTCCCCGGGCTGGCTTTGAACCTCGATCCCCAGATCTCAGCCTCCTGAATAGCTAGGATTACAGGCGTGAGCCACAGGTGCCGGGCTTTCTTTCCCTTTCTACTCACCCTGTTCAAGGCAAGCTGGGAGTACTTAGTAGCCAGCACTGGGGTCCCCAGGAGAGGCTGAGGGGGAAGGGCAGTCCCCCAGTCCTTCCTCTGTGCCGCTGAGTTCTTGGGGGAGGAGCAATGGAGGGCGGGATGTGGGGTGAGCACCTCACGGCTTCTTGTCCTGGACCCCAGCTTGTCTGGCACGGCCAGCCACTCTGCCATCGTCTTCATAGCCAAAGAAACTGGTGACTAAGAGAGTCCCAGCCTGGCAGTGGCCGCCTGTCCCCACAGAGAAACGGGAGCAGGTGCTACCACCACTCGGAGTGCTACAGCGACTGCTGCCTCGTGGACTGGGACTTCGGGGGGGCCTTCTGCGCGGCCAAGGGCGGCATGGCCACCGTGTGCCTGCCCCAGGTGAGGTTCTGGCTGGGGCAGATGGGGGGGGGCGGGGAAGGGAACACAATGAACCACATGGGGCTTTCCTGTCCTCCTCCCACGGTGTCCCTCCTTGCCCCTTCTCCACCTGGCAAACTCCTACTCATCCTGTAATACCCTAGCCACTTTTCCCTCCTTGGATTTCCCATGCTCTGGGTTTGAACTCTGGGCAGAAGAGCACACGTCTTAGATTTGCCATGCCTCTGTTTGCCTCCCTTCGTAATGGGAGCACCAGCTTAGGGCCTGTACATAGTAGACACTCAACAAACATTTGTTGAATAATGATTTCTACCCTAATGTTACTGAGGCAAGGTAGGGAAGAAAAGATCTCTCCTTATCACTGTGACGAGTTTCCTAGGAAGTGAGGGGCCAGGACCACCGTGTTGGAGTGGACCCCAAGGTTAGGCCTGGGTACCCTCCTTCAGTCTTCATTTCCTACTTTGTGAAGTAGAGAGATCCCACATATATACCATGGGGTTTGGGAGAAGAATCCATGGTCCTAACTGGGCCAGAGCTGTCAGTGTTCATCATTGGCTGGTAAAAATGCAGGCAGGGAAGATCTTGTTCTTGCTCATTGGCCCTAGGCGTGAACCTTTGCAGGGACCCTGCAGCCCAGGATGTGTGTGTGTGTGTGTGTGTGTGTGTGTGTGTGTGTGTGTGTGTGTGGCCTGACCCTGCAGCCCAGGGTGTGTGTGTGTGTCCTGGGACTTGTGCACTAGCTTCTAGCTTCTTTTGCTCAAGGCTGGGGCCCTCCTACTTGAACCACAGCAACCACGTCTGGCTTTTTCTGAATACTTTATTGGACATAGGAGTCTTGCAGACGTTCCTGCCTGGGCTGGCTCCGAACCACCATCCTCATATCAGCCTCCTGAGTAGCTGGGATTACAGGCATGAACCACTGGTGCCTGGTTGTTGTAGTTGGGTTTGTGTTTATTAATCAGGAGAGCTTCATCTATCGTATTTCAACTTGGATGACCACTTACTGTTAACCACATAACAGATGGGGAAACTGAGTCACACAGGTCTCAATCCTCAGCCTCACACTCGTAAGCTGTAGTGCCACCGACTCGGAGTCTGTCTCTCTCTTGTATTTGTGCTCTTGCCCCCCCTTACCACCACACAAGACCCTGGTGACCCCGATGCTCATACGCACTTCCCTCCCCACAGACCAACGGAGCCGTCAACATTATGTGTCCGTGCCGCACAGGCTTGACCTGCTCTACCAAGGACCTGATGTGCCCCCACCGGTGCTACCTGATATAGAGGCGCGCTCTGGCTCCCTCTCCTGAGTGGAGTATTAAAGTCCTTCTCTGGCTCTGGTCTCTGTCTTTACTTCCTGAGGGAGGAGCCCCTTCTCCAGGGCTGTGGCCCTGTCTACAGCCCCAGCGCTCCCTCCCCACCCCACCTCTGCCTGCAGGAAGGAAGGCCACCAGGGGTGGGGGCGGGTATGCAGGAGAGCAGTTTGGGTCCGGAAAGTTGCACAGGACAGGCAGAGTTGAAGAGTATACCTAGAGTGTTTGGGGTACCCATGGGCGGGAGGTCAGAGGGATGTCACCAGTGGGGGTATCTGAGTCACAAGAGAACCTCCAGAGTGCTACGAGAGTGTGTGCAGAATCTGAATGCACACACACACACACCAGGGTATATATGTATTATACATATATATGTGATTATATATCAAAGTAAATATAGATATCAGGGTGTATATATGTATGTAGACACACACACATAGATGCACACACATATAGGGATGATCATTTTTCCATGATGTGGATTCACTGGGACCAAGTAGGCCCACAGCAATTGTCAGTGATCTGACCCCTTCTCCATGGGCTGTCCCAGTCAACTGTGGAGCCCAGAAAAGGTGAGAGAGAACAGGACGGACGCTGGCGAGATCTGGTGCAGGGCACAGGGTGGTACCTGTGGGCTACTGTAGAACTTGAGAGCAGGAGGCCATCCCCAGACTGGAACTAATCCTGGGCTGGCTAGCCTGCTTCACAGCCTCGTCTCCAGTCTCCAATCTGCCCGGCTCCACCCTCCCTGTCCCCGTCCCTGTCCCTGATTCTTTTGGCCCCTCTGCTGCCTGCCATGCGGGCACAGGCTTTCTCTCACATCCCAGCAAGAATCCACAGGAGGCCGGGAGGGTTGCAGGTGGGCTTTAATTGCTGAGAGCCCAATCAGATCCCAGAGGGGCTGGAGGAAGAGGAGGGGGCCAGCCCGGGAGGCCGTGGAGGAAGGGAGAGGTGGTCTGGCGTAGTGTCCTATGGTGCACAGGACTAGGGGCCGGGGCGTGTGGGCGGCCTCACTCCTTGGAGCGGTTGGTATCAAGGCAGATGCCATAGTTGGTGTTGGTAATGGCACCAATGATGCTCCTGTCCCCTTCACAGTACAGGCCCCGCTCACAGGGACATCGGTAGTAAACCCCCTGGATGTGCTGCAGAGACACAGGAGGTGGAGTCTCAGGTTGGGGGTAGAGGGGGGCGGCTGCTGGGGTTCAGTCTCTCCTGGCCAGGGATCCAGCAGGTGGTTCCTTACAGGGTGCGCTTCTCCCACTGCCCCTGCAGAGGGCGCTCTGGGCAGTCTACTTCTATTATTGTTGGTGTTGTTGGTTGTGGGGCTTGACCTCTGGGTCTGGGCGCTACTCCTGAGCTCTTCAGCTCAAGGTGAGCGCTCTACCACTTGAGCCACAGCACCACTTCCAGTTTTCTGCTGTTAACTGGAGATAAGAGTCTCATGGACTTTTCCTGCCTGGGCTGGCTTTGAACTGTGATCCTCAGATCTCAGCCTCCTCAGTAGCTAGGATTACAGGCGTGAGCCACGGGCGCCTGGCCTCTACTTCTCTTTCTGGCTCTGCCTAGGGGAGCCTCCGTGTGCCCAGCTGTGAAATGGAGGGTGCACTCCCGCCTCATCCAGCTCAGTGGGCGATGGCAGGAGGGACACGGGTGCCGACTGAGGTCCCTGTCCACACTCCGCGTCTCCATCCCCAGACCTCACGGGCACCCCAGCGGGGCTCTTACCCCATGTCCCTCCACCCCAGTCCCAGTCCTGGTCCCGGTCCCCACCTTAGGAGAGCACTCGGCGTTCTCCCTGGCCTTCTGCGTGCATCGGGCGAGGCCCAGGACGGTGTTGTGTTGACAGCAGCCACTCTTGCACTGGGCGCTGTTGAGGCAGAGCTCGCCTTCGTCCTGAGGAGAGAGGGGCTATCCCAGGGCCTCCCCCAGCCCCTCCCCCTGCCAGGCACCTCCCTCAGGGACACCTGTGCGCAGACGTCCAACCCCTGGTGCCCATCCATGGGACTCTAGTCCTACTGAGCCCCTGGGTGACCCCAACCACTTACTGCCCTCTCAGGCTTCAGTGTCCCATCTGACATGTACATAGATGGCACCAAAATAGGGTCTCCAGATCCAAACTGCTCCAGCTCCCACATGCCCCACACTTAATTTTTCTCCTTCCTTCCTTCCTTCCTTCCTTCCTTCCTTCCTTCCTTCCTTCCTTCCTTCTTCCTTCCTTCTTCTCTCTCTTTTCTTCTTTCTTTCTTCCTTTCTTTTTCTTTCTTCTTTTTGTCGGTCATGGGGCTTGAACTCAGGACCTGGGTGCTGTCCCTGAGATTTTCCTGTACAAAGCCAGGACTCTACCATTTTGAGCCATGGCTCCACTTCCAGTTTGGGGGTGGTTAATTGGAGATCAGAGTCTCATGGAGGGCTGGGAATGTGGCCTAGTGATAGAATGCTTGCCTAATATGCACAAAGCCCTGGGTTCGATTCCTCAGCAACACATAAACAGAATAAGACAGAAGTGGTGTTGTGGCTCAAGTGGTAGAGTGCTAGCCTTGAGCAATGCTCAGGCCCTGAGTTCAAGCCCCAGGACTGGCAGAGAGAGAGAGACAGAGACAGAGACAGAGACAGAGACAGACAGACAGACAGAGAGACAGAGACAGAGAGTCTCATGGATTTTCTTGTCTGGGCTGGCTTTGAACTACAATCCTCAGATCTCAGCCTCCTGACTAGTTAGGATTACAGGTGTGAGCTACCAGTGCTTGCTGCTGCTGCTGCTGCTGCTTCCTTCTTTCCTTCCTTCCTTCCTTCCTTCCTTCCTTCCTTCCTTCCTTCCTTCCTTCCTTCCTTCCTTCCTCCTCCTCATCCTCCT